AAGGCACTCACCAAGGACCCCTGCAATGCCTGGCTGCAGTTTCCCCATTCATAAAGAAAATTCAAACTCCTACCCAACACAATCCTCAGGAGAGGGGAGCTCCATGGTCAGTCCCAGCACAAGCCTTGGTTTATGGGTCAAAGAGGAGAAGGTCAGGGCACCAGCACAACTCTCACACCCTCTCCTGGAGCTCAGCTAACACCATCATGGAGCATCCGCAACTCAGCATGGAGAAACCATCACAGTGCTGAGGGTTCTGGCTCCTCCCCATGATTTTCAAACAATGAAGAAAATTACATGTGGTGCAGGATAAAACTTCATAGCCAAGTTCTAATCAAATCAGGAGCCTGAACAAGACAAAAAGCACCAGCTCTAGAGCATGGTTTTGCTCCTGCTGCAGCCACATATGATGTGGGACCTGACTTGATTTCCTCAAGCAAAACAGGGGATCCCTCACATCCAAGCCAGCCCTGCAGAAAGCATGGGGAGGAGTAGGAGCATGATGGGCCCAAAAAACTGACAGACATGACCAACACGTTTGAAGTCAATGATGCAGATACAGAGCACTGTGTGATGTCCCACACAGCAAGATTCCCCCACCAGCTCTTGGCAATGACCATGGCAAAGTCTCCAGGTCATGGCACCTGCTCAGGGCAGGGTCTCACCTGCCCTTTCTGCCGTCACAGGGAGCTCCAGCAGCCACTCATGTGGGTGAAAGCTGCATCACTCTCATGGAAGAGCATCTGGGGACTCACTTCACATTTAGGAACTTCCAGAACATGCTCAAAGACAGCTCCAAAGGTAAAGGAAACTCTTCTCTTTAGAGGCAGTTTAGGGAGTCCCTCCATTAACACCCACTTGTAACCCTAGAGGAGAATTGCTCTGCCTCCCCTAAGGAGCACCCAGATCCCTCCTCGCATTGAGATCGAGCCTTGGACCACACAAACACCCCAATATTCCTCTGTAATCAAAGCCACTTACCATCTTCATCATAGCCTTGGCAGGAGGAGAGACCTGGGAGCGATATTTATTATGCTCATCCAAGATGATCTTCTTTTCTTCATCACTCAGGGACCAGCTCAGCCCCAGCACAGAGAGCACCAAGAGAACGGGAGGAAGACCTGAGCTCAGCATCGTGCAGGCAGCTTCTGCTCTCAGCAGCCCACGGCTCTGGCAGTCAGATTTAAAGCACCTCCCAA